CCCCAAAACCCCAAAACCCCAAAACCCCTATGATAGATGTTCAATTTTAACATTTAAGAATATTAAAAGAGGATAATATGTTTACATAAATTTACTAGTCTCTAGATTATCGAGATCTAAATCTCGATGTTAGAATTATAATAATTAAAATGTAAGGATCCAAGATTGCCGTATTGGCCCTATTATTCTCTTCACTTGCACTTGCAAATATCAACAAGGACTTCGCCCACATCCTTGATGGAACATCTGCAGTAACTCTTGACGATATTGAAGTTATGTACTCAAAATTTGTTCAATAATACAAGCAACAAATGAATTACTCCCCAAGTTCCTAATTCAAGAGTTAAACCATTGATCGTAAAATGATTTTCGCACAAAAGGTTCAAGAGATCATCAAGCACAATACTGCTCCTTCTGTTTCATACAAGAAGGGTCTTAACCCATTTTCAGATATGACTGAAGAAGAATTCGTCAGCTACTATAACATTAATGCTCAAGCTGAATAAAATTGCTCTGCTACCAAGAGATCAGAAATCCCATAACTTATGGGTGATGGCATTCCAGAACAATGGGATTGGAGAGATAAGGGCATTGTATCACCAGTGAAGAATCAAGGTCATTGTGGTTCATGCTGGACTTTCTCAACAGTTGGTTGCCTTGAGGCACACTACCTGAAGAGATACGGTTAATTCAAGAATCTTTCAGAATAATAACTTGTCGATTGCGCCAGCGCTTATGATAACCATGGATGTAATGGTGGTCTCCCATCTCACGCTTTCGAATATGTAAAGGATAATGGTGGTATCTCAACAGAAGCTTCGTACCCATATCAAGCTGTAACCAATTAATGCACTGTCAACCCAAGCAGCTATGCTGTTGGAGTTAGAGGAGGTGCCGTCAATATTTCTCTCAGCGAAGAAGATTTAAGACAAGCTCTTTTCAATAATGGGCCAATCTCAATTGCATTCTAAGTTGTTGATGGCTTCAGAGATTACTCATCAGGTGTCTATGTAAGCAGCACATGCAAGAATGGACCTTCAGATGTCAACCATGCAGTTCTTGCCGTCGGATATGGAACTGAGAACGGAGTTAATTACTGGCTCATTAAGAATTCATGGGGTGCTGCCTGGGGTGACAAAGGATTCTTCAAGATGCAAAGAGGAGTTAACATGTGCGGTGTTGCTGTCTGCAATTCATACCCTCAAGAGGTTTATGATATTTCACAAGAATTCAAGGTGTTCCTTCAATGATATCCCTTAGAATATCTTCAATCCTTAATCCAATCAAATTTAAACTTTCACCTTAATTACGTCATTTTACCTGCAAGGGGTTTTGGGGTTTTGGGGTTTTGGGGTTTTGGGGTTTTGGGGTTTTGGGG